TAAATTTCATATAAAATTAATGACTTTTTGTGAGTTACAAACTCAAATCTATTTTCTATTAAAAAAAAAACTCACAAATCTATTTAAGAGTCCAAGACTCTTTATGAAAGATCATTAAAGAGTTTTAAACCCGCAAAATTAGTAAAGAGTTAGAAACTCTTTAATTTAATTTCTACATTATTTAATTTGTAGAAGTTTTAAATTCTAAAAATAGTGACGAATTTAAATAATTAAATTGTCACTTAAAAGGAGTCATAGACTCTATGTCAATTTAGACGAGTTATAAACTCTTTTAAGTTAAATTTTCTTGTCCACTAACATGTCTTTTATGGGTTGCACCCGTGGGATTTGTTGAGAGAAATTGCGAACCAAAATTAAATAATTCAAGATTCTTAATAGTGAGCAAGCATGAATTTAGAACTCAAAAGTGAATTTGTTTAGGTTGCCATCCACTAGTTACTCCAATATTTGGGAGAGTCAAATGCTCCAGTTTTTTTTTANTAAAAATCAAATAACCATAATTATTAAGTATCAAAATTAGGTCCCTAGATTAAATATAAGTAATAGTATCGTAAAATTTTTAGAATTTCTTACAAAAATATTTAGGGCCCTAAAGTTTGTGCTTATGTGTTTATCTTTTTCCAATGTTTATCATACATGAAAAATATGTGTTATCACCTAATAAAATATTTTTCTATTTTATTATTAAAAAAAAAACTATATAATTCATTGTNCCAGGAATGCTTTAGGAGTTAGAAACTCTTTGACTTGACCATGGATAGAATCTGAATTTTTTTTTAATTGCAATGAGTTTCAAATTAAGCAAGACGGTAGCTAAAAAGAAAATTCTCTTAATTGATGCAATTTTTGAAAAGTCAGAGGCTCTTAATTTCTATGATTTTTCCTAAAAGTTAGAAACTTCATGCNCTTAATTATTTTTTTAAAACGTATAAAAATAACTATAGAATAGAGTGAGTAGAAGTCTCTTGCTATATGAAACTAATTATAACCATAACTGTCTTGTTAAAATTTCTTAATTAAACTATTTCGATGGTTTTCTATAATATTAAAACATGTTTCACATATTCTAATACCATTTAACTTATACAATTTTAACTTTTACATTTGTTCTAANGGAGTTTAAAACTCCACTAAACTCCATAATTTTTGAAGAGTCAAAGGCTCTTAATTTCTATAAATTTTCCTAGGAGTTAGAAACTCTATACTACTTTAAAATTGTCTTTGAAAGACCAATGCATAATTTTTTCTTAAAATGATCTTTGAAAGACCTGAAATTATTGTCATTTTTTAAGGGTTTGTTGCAACATTAAAAGGTTAGTGACAAGCTAAATGGGAGTTTAAAACTCCACAAAACCAAAGACTAACAACCAAAGACCCACAACCAAAGACAAAAAATCTAATTCAAGATAATTTTTAGAAATTAAAAATTCCTTGAAATTACATAGAAAGGGGGACTTGCACACTAGACTATGGTTTTGAAAGAGTCAAAGACTCTTTCGGATGGAAGCCTTATTTTTGTGTGTATGTGGGTGCATGAAATACACACCAAGGATTATTACAAATGCTATGAAACGTCATTTGATGAAACTTGGAAGACTNAAGACGGTAGCTAAAAAGAAAATTCTCTTAATTGATGCAATTTTTGAAAAGTCAGGGGCTCTTAATTTCTATGATTTTTCCTAAAAGTTAGAAACTTCATACTGCTTTAAAATGGTCTTTGAAAGACCTGAAGTCAATGCAATTTTTTTTAAGGGTTTGTTGCAACATTAAAAGGTTAGTAACAAGCCAAATGGGAGTTTAAAACTCCACTAAACTCCATAATTTTTGAAGAGTCAAAGGCTCTTAATTTCTATAAATTTTCCTAGAGTTAGAAACTCTATACTACTTTAAAATTGTCTTTGAAAGACCAATGCATAATTTTTTCTTAAAATGATCTTTGAAAGACCTGAAATTATTGTCATTTTTTAAGGGTTTGTTGCAACATTAAAAGGTTAGTGACAAGCTAAATGGGAGTTTAAAACTCCACAAAACCAAAGACTAACAACCAAAGACCAAAAATCTAATTCAAGATAATTTTTAGAAATTAAAAATTCCTTGAAATTACATAGAAAGGGGGACTTACACACTAGACTATGGTTTTGAAAGAGTCAAAGACTCTTTCGGATGGAAGCCTTATTTTTGTGTGTATGTGGGTGCATGAATTACACACCAAGGATTATTACAAATGCTATGAAACGTCATTTGATGAAACTTGGAAGAGTNAGAATTAAATTCCCTATAAAATTAGTGACTTTTTGTGAGTTAAAAACTCAAAAATCTATTTAAGAGTCCAAGAGTCTTTTCATAAAGATCATTACAGAGTTTAAACCCACAAAATTAGTAAAGAGTTAGAAATTNGAGTTGAAAACTCCTCTAATTTGTAAGTTGAATGATTCGGAGTCGGCCTAATTGTTACGAGTTGAAGTGGCTTTGAATCTATTTGCTTCCATAAAAAAATTCAGAAGATTAAATACTCAAGAAAAAGTAAATAGAATTTTTTTTTACCTGAACACAAGCTTCAAAAAAAATAAATTTCGCTGCCTTCCTTCCTTCTCTTTTCTCTGCCCAAAAATCTTCTTTCTCCTTTGCTCACTGTTTTTTTTTCTTCCCTTGATAACCATCTCAAACTCCCCCCTCCTGATCTCAAGATCAAGTGTATTTATAAGGAGTTTTTTGCATGCAAAGGGGGCAGCTGGCAATCTTTTAGAAAAGGGCAATTTAGATGCTGATACAAGTTTTTAGACTTATTTAAGCAAAATATAACTCAAAAATTTATTTTGGNAAACTCTATGTCAATTTAGACCGAGTTATAAACTCTTTTAAGTTAAATTTTATTGTTCACTAACAAGTTTTTTTATGGGCTGCACCCGTAGGATTTGTTGAGAGAAGTTGCGAACCAAAAATAAAGAATCTAAGATTCTTAGCAGTGAACNTAAAGAGTTAGAAACTCTTTAATTTAATTTCTACATTATTTAATTTGTAGAAGTTTAAAATTCTAAAAATAGTGACGAATTTAAATAATTAAATTGTCACTTAAAAGGAGTCATAGACTCTACGNTAAAATCAAGTGGGAGGTAAAATAAAGGGTTTAATTATCAAAACACATCTTTTTCGGCAGAGGGATTAAAATGTCAGAACTGTGACTGTTCATCGTCTAAAAAAAGGAGGAACTTGAGTTACTGTTCGTCGTCCAAAAAATAAGAGGAATACAAAGCTACTGTTCATCATAAAAAAAAAGGAANTAAACTCTTTTAAGTTAAATTTTCTTGTCCACTAACATGTCTTTTATGGGTTGCACTCGTGGGATTTGTTGAGAGAAATTGCGAACCAAAATTAAATAATCCAAGATTCTTAATAGTGAGCAAGCATGAATTTAGAACTCAAAAGTGAATTTGTTTAGATTGCCATCCACTAGTTACTCATATATTTGGGAGAGTCAAATGCTCCAGTTTTTTTTAANTAATTTTTTTTTATCTTTTTTTTTGGTGGCCCCGCCTAATGAAACTAGACTACCTACGTACCCTTCGCGAGATCAAGCCAACGTAGTTCAAATNAGGAATTTCCCAAAAAAAAGAATGACAAAATAAAAGAAGAAATATAATTATTAACATCTAATCTTTAAGCTGATGACGGTGATTAATATTTACAGTTCTTTTTTTCGAATAAATCCACCACCGGAGAAGTAAATCGTCATTCAAGAAGACTTATCAATTGAACACATATGTTTGATTCAAAAAAATAAAGATAACAAATATGTAAAAATTTCATATTTGTTTCNTATAATTATTAACATCTAATCTTTAAGCTGATGACGGTGATTAATATTTACAGTTCCTTTTTTCGAATAAATCCACCACCGGAGAAATAAATCGCCATTCAAGAAGATTTATCAATTGAACACATATGTTTGATTCAAAAAAATAAAGATAACAAATATATAAAAATTCCATATTTGTTCCNCCAGGAATGCTTTAGGAGTTAGAAACTCTTTGACTTGACCATGGATAGAATCTGAAATTTTTTTTAATTGCAATGAGTTTCAAATTAAGCAAGGCGGTAGCTAAAAAGAAAATTCTCTTAATTGATGCAATTTTTGAAAAGTCAGGGGCTCTTAATTTCTATGATTTTTCCTAAAAGTTAGAAACTTCATACTGCTTTAAAATGGTCTTTGAAAGACCTGAAGTCAATGCAATTTTTTTTAAGGGTTTGTTGCAACATTAAAAGGTTAGTAACAAGCCAAATGGGAGTTTAAAACTCCACTAAACTCCATAATTTTTGAAGAGTCAAAGGCTCTTAATTTCTATAAATTTTCCTAGAGTTAGAAACTCTATACTACTTTAAAATTGTCTTTGAAAGACCAATGCATAATTTTTTCTTAAAATGGTNAAATTGTACTTAATAGAATAAACTATTTATCCATACATTTTTGCTCAAATAAGTATTGAAAATTATACCTACACCTAAAAAAACCCAATAGAAAACCCAAGTCCACTTTCTCTTGTTTGTAGGCAATTAGTGTAGCGGGGAGTTTAGAAAAAAACCGTCCTTAATTCTCGGCTCTCCATTTTTTTTTAAAACATACAATTTTTAAAATTCATAAGGATGAATTTTAATAGATCAAATTAAAATGTAAAATTTAACAATTGAGCTTGTAAGGTCAAGGTAACAATCAATAACNAAATTGTACTTAATAGAATAAACTATTTATCCATACATTTTTGCTCAAATAAGTATCAAAAATTATACCTACACCTAAAAAAACCCAATAGAAAACCCAAGTCCACTTTCTCTTGTTTGTAGGCAATTAGTGTAGTGGGGAGTTTAGAAAAAAACCGTCCTTAATTCTCGGCTCTCCATTTTTTTTTACAACATATAATTTTTAAAATTCATAAGGATGAATTTTAATAGATCAAATTAAAATGTAAAATTTAACAATTGAGCTTGTAGGGTCAAGGTAACGATCAATAGCTCAAAAAAAACAAATCATGCATCGAGTATGAACCCGTCTTTGATCTTTGAATTTTTTTGTCGTTTAACACGTCATACTCTATTTATAAAGTTCAGACAGTAATAGAAAAAAAAAATTACAGAAGCGTACTATTGATTTGCCGTTGTATGATGGAATGGTGAGTATATCTTTGATCCGATATTGTGACGAGCTGCTGGGCAAATCTCAAGCATGGTGCTTGTGGTAACCGACACTTTTTCAGCCCAAAATAAGCATGAAATTAGCAAATATGCAAGCTAAGCAAATTTTACTTGTCCTGTTAGATCCAAATTCCCCAGACAAGTTCAAGCAAACACTTTCCCTCTGCTCAACCTTTTTTTGCACAAAATCTTCGCCTCGTACTTTTTGGCCAAAGGGATCACATCGCAGAAGCCTTATCGTTTGAGCAATATGGTTGAGTGTAGCTCGTAGGCCATATCTTTCAACTGCTCTTTTAGCCATTCTGTATCCATACCATAAATTGGAGAACGATGATACTTTATACAACCTATCTCATATTCCCTCAACTTGCTCTCAAATTCATCACCAACAGAAACAATTCCACCCACATTTCAGCTATAATTTGGCATATACCTTCCTCAACTGCCCTATCCAATGTAGAAGGGCGATACCAAGCTGCCAAAAAAGTTTAAAAATCAGCTTAATTAAGAGGCATACCACTAAGAATGATTCCGGAAGTATGTACACATTTAGAAACAAATTATACTTCAATGAGGNCAGCTATAATTTGGCATATACCTTCCTCAACTGCCCTATCCAATGTAGAAGGGCGACACCAAGCTGCCAAAAAAGTTTTAAAATCAGCTTAATTAAGAGGCATACCACTAAGAATGATTCCTGAAGTATGTACACATTTAGAAACAAATTATACTTCAATGAAGATTTTTCCATTTTGGGCAAGTTAAAAATCATCTTGAAGTTGTGTAGGTACAATTGTTTGTATATATGAGTGAAATAACCTTGATGATCCATCCATGCGTGCATCATTTCGTGTGCTAGGGTTGTTCCAATCCTCAACCTGCTTGTAAAATAGACTAAAAATTTCAAATTTCAACCAAGTTAAAAATAATTATTAGAAAGGAGAAACATAGAACAACAGATCCATGAAGAAACATAGAACAACAGATCCATGAGGCATTAAACCACTTCTAAGACTAACTTACTGTCTCAAACTTTCAATTTTCAATGAAGAATATGGCCATATATAAACAGAAAGAACTTAAACACCTTCACTGATTTGCTCAAAACTTTTGGATGGAGGTCATAATTCATAAAAGAAAGTTTGAACACTAGAGGCAACTATTTTTTTTTGCTAGACCTAGAGGCAACTATTTACTTCCTTAGATGGACTATATTATCGACCAGCAAAATAGGGAAGCCTCCTCTCAATTTAAGATTCAAAGTTTCAAAAAATTGATGCAACTCATGAATAAGAGGCTGGAATTCATGCATTGTCATGATAGAAGTAGAACAACAATGAGGACAAATAGTATGACAATCACTAAAGCTAATAAATAGTACACCTCTCGGCTGCATACAATGACAAAGTTTGATTATTAGCTTCCTCACACAAACCAAAATAAGTATATACAAATCATATGCACAAATCAAATTTACATTAAAGATTAATATATAATATGGATTCTGTCATCTATTCTGAATGTTAGCTACATAATTGTCTTCATCTTTCCCAATTCGGACCCTAGTAATTTGTGATCCAACCACAAAGCCCAGTCACCGCATTGACCAACCGATAAAGTTATGCCTTATCGGAATTGAATGTCATCATAGTATGTCCAGCTTCAGCTCGTAGAAAACACCATCAAAATTATAAATTTAACTGGAATCTTTTTAGTTTGGTCATCCAAAAAAAAAGTAATAACCCACCCAATCTCTCAATACTTGGTCTACACATTGCGCTGTTAATGTTTGAAAGCGTATATGGAGGTATAGTCTTCTAGCTTCCATATTTTTGAGTACTGCAAGTCTGCAATGAACAGTATCAGATCACCCAGTCATTTTTCAGCCCACAAGTTACTAGAAACAATTTAGTAAAGATATGATTGAACATCAAATACATAGGATTTAAGAAGGCACTAACACAAGTGGATCTCAAGCCATACTTGCATACAAACACAGTTAGACTGTTATTTTCATCTAATGGTAAGGCTTTAAAGAGTATGTTTGGATTCCTCCTTCCTAACCTAAGATTCAAATGGTCGAATTAACTTAGGCAAAATCCAAATGTGCTACTATTCAAAATAAGTATTACTAGTGTCATTATCTTCAAGTGTTCAACCATGTATTTTGATCTTGTACAAATAAGTGTCCACATCAACTATTTGAGGATTTGATTTAGTTCATATACAAATTTGGTTCATGGCTAAACATTATTACATGGTTTGCACGTGGATAATGAAGTATTTTTCCTAAAGAAAAGAAAAATATCTTTATTTGGAATAAATTACAATTAGTTTACCAACCTTAAATCTATGGCAGATAAAACACCTGGGTGTCATGTCACGTTCGCGTCTTTTACAATATATCTGACCCCAAAAAGAACCTTTAATCATCCTTGAACTAGGAAGGGAATCCTGTAAGACAAATATCAAGAGTATTAAAAGGCAAGAAAGCTACATTATTTTAATATAATACATTTATATTTCTAGTGGACGAATATTCACGATAATTTTACTACAAAAGATTCAAACATATTGTTTATTATCTTCTTCTTTTTTCGGAGAATGATCCGTTTATTATCTTGAAAGCATGTTTGCGTCAAACCTAAATTTTCATAATTTGGGTTCTTTTTTTTTTTNAAAAAAAAAAAAAAAAAAAAGGAGTTATAATGAATGTGGTCAACTAATAATGCAGCATGACTTCTTCAATTTAGACTTAAAGTTTTTAGATGTTCCTTTGCAACAGGACGTACACTTACCAATTCGCTGCAAACATCACAAAATTGGTACGCTTGATTACCATATTGCTGTCACCAAAATTTAAAAAAAAAAAATATCAGCACAACATGGTCATTCTTCAATGACTATGAACAATCATAGTTATCGTGTATGATGCTTCCACTCTTTCATAAGTAGTTATTGGTACAAGCAGATTTTCTTTCATAATGATTGTCATTTTCTGAATAAAGTTACGCAAAAGAGTGATTCTGAAATCTAGGTGGAATATGATTAACAATGTATAAAAATAACTACATATTAATGTGCAAACATTGGGACATCGAGGATAAGCAAAAATGTCAAAGTTCAATTAGGGTCCATAACAATAGTGTGTGCTAAATGCAATTTTTAAATTTTGCTCAGCCTTAGAAGCAAGATAACCATATCAAGATTTCAACCTTATTTTGGGCTACATAATCTTTGTTACTCATGATATTGACTGTTTGATGGTCCTTGCGACCTTTTGTGGGTGGAAGTACCAGCACCCATGATGGTAAAATGTTACTCGCAAAGGTGGGAGTAGAAATANAATCTTTGTTACTCATGATATTGACTGTTTGATGGTCCTTGCGACCTTTTGTGGGTAGAAGTACCAGCACCCATGATGGTAAAATGTTACTCGCAAAGGTGGGAGTAGAAAGATTATACCTACATGTAAGAAAATTGGAAAAAAGAGTTAGTGAAGATGAGTGAAAAAAAGTAGGTGCACTTTTGATATTGGTCAAAAGACAGAACCAAAAAGATCAGTTTCCATTTGAGAGAGAGAGATTTTCTTGTAATACTGAAAATAAAACTTTCGAAACATTTGAATCAACATGATGATTCTTTTTAAGGTCAATTCAAAAAGAAATAATCATGTTATCAAGTTTGGACATTTATGCTGAACAATCCCTTTTCTATTTTTCCCACATGTATGTTTCTGTGAGTGTGTGTGTGAGAGAGAGAGAGAGGAAAAAAAGGGATGTGTGTGTGAGACAGAGAGAAAGCGGAAAAAAATGTTGGGGGAGGGGGACAGGAGGGGAAGGGAGAGAGAGGGGGAGAGAGAGAGAGATTTTACAATTTCCTTTGAACAATAACAATATTATGTTCGTCTTTGTGCAACTTCTTATTACACCTCAGCTCTTGAAGTTACACACAAGACTTTCGCATTACAGTTTTCACTACAAAATTGGAGTTGCTATGAAAAAATGCCCAAACCATCTCAAAAAATACATATCAGAAAGAAATTAAATTGGACAACCAAGCAAACATTGGAAGAAGTGAGGGTCATCATACCTGAGCAGATACCGCCAGTACATCTGTGAGAAGAGACGCGGCCAACCAGACTTGTAAGCATATTTGATCAGCAGCCATTGCTAGTGGACCTTGACATGCAGCCAATGATGTTGCCTGTGTCGTAGTTGTCAGGAGAGCAAGAGTTCTCCCAAGAAGGAAACCACCTAAAAGAGCACAAGATTTGTAACTCAACTCCAAAAAATATGTCCACATTTCCTGGAGAGTATAGTAAAAATGGTGAAGCAGAGAGAAACAGGTTTAGCATAAATTCTAATTATGTGCAGTGCGTGTGCAATCATTCTAAAGGGGCAACCCAAGTCAATCAGGAACAAAGTACAAACTAAACATAATATCCTGCTTTTGGGAAGCAAAATTAGTATAGAAAAACATTTAGCACATGTTTGCTTAAATAGGGGACCAATAATGGCCTACACTCGTCATTCAGCTCTACTATTATTTTCACAGCACAAAACAGTCGAATTCTACAGCTTAGGACAGGAATATCAAATAAGAGTACCAGTAACTTGGCATACCAAATTGTCTCACTCCCACATGTTGCGGCTTTAAAGTAACATTTACAATTAACTACATAGCACAATAATTTCTTTTCTCCCAAAGGTTCCTAAGCTTGAAGCAGAGAGAAACTAATTTACAAGTAAAAAGAAAGAACTTAAGAAACTCAGAAGCTGAAGTTATTTAAGCTTCACATAGTGCAATCCAAAGAAGTTCTTCATATGGTGCAATCCAGGCAGTTTATCATTGGTATTTCCTTCTTGCTGACCCTCTAAGGTACGAAAATTTTACAAAATTATAAATGAAAGCTAAAACGTTGAGCTAAGTGTTTCTTCTTGGAACAAGCAATCCAGAATTTAAAGCAGATTCAAAGGCTTGGAAAATAATTAAGGCTTCAAATACTAATTACCCGACCTCCAGTGGGAGAAACGACCGCATTCTTTGACAGGTCTTNCTTGGAAAATAATTAAGGCTTCAAATACTAATTACCCGACCTCCAGTGGGAGAAACAACTGCATTCTTTGACAGGTCCTNTGGAACAAGCAATCCAGAATTTAAAGCAGATTCAAAGGCTTGGAAAATAATTAAGGCTTCAAATACTAATTACCCGACCTCCAGTGGGAGAAACGACCGCATTCTTTGACAGGTCTTCAGCCACAAAAGATGTAGCCACACTGACGAGAGGCATATTAAACAGTTTTGAAATAATGTTGAATATTGATATGGAAACACCAGCTGAAGCCAACTCCACAGGGCCTATGGATGCAAATAGAAGTTAATAAATCCACATATATTATAGAGGGAAAAGAAAAAGGAAACCCAAAAACAAAAATAACAGAGATATAATCCACTAGTTAGGCTCCATTTTTTGAAGTCAGAAGAGTGGGAAGATGCAATAGGATCAAGTTTCAAATGCTTCAGTCAATATCTAAGAAAACCTAGTTATCACAGGAACATAGTTCATGCACGTAAAAACTTAATGCTACACCCAAATGATCATTACGTTGTCCAGAATAATCTATAGAAAAGTAACATGCTCTCAACTTCATGAACGATACATGTAATATTAGAGAAGAATTCTACCTATCAGAAAGTATGCAATAATGATATATCAAACTAGATTTGCTGGATAAAATCGTGTGGCTGTTAGTGCGAGTTTTGGATATTAATCACTATTACTCGATATCATAAGATCTTATTTGATCTATTAATAAAATCACGTGTCTGATCAAGAAAAAAATATATTCCAAACTATCTTGAAAGGCCATCAATACATTGGTATGAAACCACAAAATATGTACACTTCTCCTTAATAAAAACCTACAATCCTAAATAGTGACTCCTAAATTGACCTTGATTGAAATCACAAGTTCATGTATCAGTCCCCCCCTGTGTTGATAAGAGCTCAGCTTAACACAGAAACACATCCAACGTCTTCACCATCAAATTCCTGAACAGCAATGCAACAAAGCACTATGCCAGCAGCTAATTACCATTGTATGACCATCTACTTTGGATTAAGTGCACAGAAACACAATATAAGGAGCCAAATCGACCAGATCCTCCAAAAAAGATAATGGCCACAAGCCTTTTATCAAAATTCTTTGATAGGTAAAATTGCACAAGCAAGGCCCCCACCACCCCCCCCAAAAAAAAAAAAAAAAAAAAACCCACACACACACACAAAAAGAGAAAGGAAAAAACCAAAAAGAAAAACAGTACACTGCCCTTCAAACAAAAAAGCAGGAGAGTGTGTGAAAAAAATGATACTAGAGGGACTTGGAGAACACAACATAAAGAAACTGATACTGGTAGCAGGAGGATGAATAATAAAGTTCGAAAAAAATCTCCATAACCACCAGGTCCACCACAAACAATTAAATGGATTAAGCATCAGACAATACACCTCACCTAATCTACCAATATATGCTGTCTCCATCAGTTGTGCGAAGGGGTCAACAGCCTGTCCAGCAATTGTAGGCAAAGAAAGCATTACAAGTTCACGTTTGACGTCTTGATGACGTGATTGACTAGTAAATATCCCTGTCAACTCCTTTCCACTTTGGTTCGAAGTCTCCGATGGACCATCCCTTTTGCCTCACTGTAAACAATATAAGGAAAATTGTGAAAGGATTTATTGATGTAAAGTCTAACTTTTTTTTGGGTCATAATATAAAATCTTAAGTCTAACCAAACCAGTGAATTTCAATACACATTATTTCCTTTTACAACTCACGAAATTGAGGAAAAGACAAGTTACCTGACATCGGAAGGTGGAAGGGAAAAAAGAAAGTGTAATGTTTCACTTCAAACTTGGCTCCAAAAGGGACTTTTTTCATGAAGAATAGCATTGCCAAATTTGCTCTTAAAGTGTTCCAAAATTTTAACCGTAGATCAACTGTTTAAGTATCCCATTCCTCAGTTGTTTACAACTTTTGACGTGAGATCACCATATGGCACATGCTAGATTGCTAAGAGATCTTCAAACAACTGCATGTCGTATGTGTTGTTGCAGCGAAGACTGGTCCCAGTTATTAGTTGCCAGAAGCTGAAGTGAAACGCATCTATGTGTTTGTTGTCGTGCAACACTCGTGTATGTTCCCCTGAGCAACAACAACAGTCAAGGAAACCCAACCAATAAGAGCACGCTACAATCCAAACTTCCTTAAGTGTCCCACTAAAACCATTTTCTTATTCAACTGTGCGGATGTATCATTTACCAAGAACAGGCTCCCAGTTTCCATTCCAGGTTGTCTGAACAAAAGAAAACAATTTTTTTTGCTTCCTAAAGCTTCCAATATTGATGCAGACAAGCTGCATATCTGTAATAGCAACTCCCAGCTATCATCATATTGGCTCTTACATAATCAAGTACTATTACAGGACAGCAAAAATTTATCTCCCTTCGGCTCTCCCTAAGAAACAAGGACACAGGACACGTCTGACATATCCGACACAGACACGTAGATACGACATTTCTAAAAAAAATATGACACAGATGCGTTGGGGACACGTTACAGATAATTGTGTTTTCTATATAAAATAATGTAATTTATCACAAATATAGTGATAATGATATATTGTTAATAAAAAAATCAGTATTTTATGATAATTTAATGTTATCTCTAGTCATTTAGCGTAAATACGTATAGACTGACATCATAATAATCAATAATTATTAATTTTTTCATAGACGAGTACTATACATACACAATTTAAATGATTGCTCTTATCTCAACTATTCTTTTCTAAATCTTTTATGTATCATTTGCTTTTGTTATTATATTTTGATTACAACTTTAACATGTCTAGTCTTGTTAATTATATGTTCTCTCATAGTATAAAATATTTAATAGTCAAATTTTTAAACTTCTAAATCACAAATCAATACATATTTATTATTTAGTAGTAGACACGTTTTAAAGAAGTGTTGGACACGCGTCCGAAGAGTGTCACTGTCTGACATGGATACGTCACCTTCTTAAAAGTGTCCGTACTTCATAGGGCTCTCCCTCTTAACTGACCATCCATGCAATTTTGTCTTTACTTGGCTTCTTTATCCTTCATAAAACTACCTCTCACATCATCCCACCCCTATAATTTTCAATTCTTTGCAAAATAACTACCCAAGGTCCCAAAAAAAAAAAATTACATAATTTTTTGATAATTGACAAAGAAAGGTTACAATGTCAAATATTAATTCTCTACCAGTTCAACCCTCCCGATAACTTCGATTAACAAGGATCAAATTGGTTAAGACTTGCTAATTGATTCATTCTAAACAAGGTAGAAATGGTGATCACACATCAAATGTGCCTGCGACTACTATGACTAGTAACAGGAATGGCTGTTTGAAGGGACAGATTTCAATCAACAGACATCATATATCTTTATATAAAAGGCATTAAATTGTAACATAACATGAAATCCAATGTTAAAGATCGAAGTAAGCTGCTAGGAGAAATCCAGAATATAATTTTAAAAAATGGCTCAATCCAAATGCTCCACAATATCATAAGATACAAAACAGGGAGTACCATTTTATTCTTACAACACTCTGCCTATATTATAGTCAAATGCAGTAAAGCAGCAAAAAAATGCTATTAAAAATTTAGTGTAAAATTACCTACCTATTAAAACAATGTAGTGCAAAATTAATACCATGAATCGAAGCATCATAATGATACATACATTTCATATAAACAGGAGCTGTGTCTAATAACAGTAAAAATTCCCTTTAGAATAATAGAAAAAAATGGCAAATTAAACCAAATCAATGCTTATCATATAAAAATAATAATAGTACCACAAGGCGATGGATCTAGGTCTTACGGAATTCTTTCCCTTGAACTGGAGAGGTCATGTTCTTCTGTAGAAGGAGTCTCATCCAAATCAGAAGAGTGCACACCACAATCTAAACTTGATTGATAATTGGACACTTTAAAAATGTGCTTTCTCCGTTGAATAACGGGTGATGTCAGCATTGGCTAGTGCTTTGCGGTTAGACTGACACGCCTGACAACATCTGTATAGCTCAACCTCTTTCAAATAACTAACCTAGAAAAATTGTGAATTCGCCTTGAATGTTGTGGACAAAATGCCCTTGTCGCTTCATTCACGGTGTTACATCAATAAAAACAAAGTCAGGGTTGTCACTATCTTGTTAAACAAAAACATCTTGTTGCTTCCCATAAATAGCAGCACTTTAGGGGAGACTAAATTAGTCCCCTTGGGCAGATTGGTTATAACTGTTAAAAACACTTATTCTGAAGTGTACCTAAATGGAGTCGGAAAGCCCCTCCCTTTCATGCTCCAAAAGACATTGACTACTTATAAATTCGCATCAAGAGGAAATTAAAGCTCAGAAATTCCAAGATGAGCATCCAGGTTTATATTTTCAATTGAGAGGACTAATCATCCAGGTGTATAGTAGGAATGCACTGAAGATTCTTATTCTTCATACATAAAACAACAACTTCAAAACGTCTCCTCATAGACACGGACAAACTTATTAGCAGTACTAATTAAAATTATAATCAACCGAAATCTAATGATACAAGTGAGTGTGCCACATAGCCTAAGATGAGATGCATGCAGGCTAACTAAAACAAGCAAAAGCACTATAACCTTGACCCCTACAGTACAAACCTATAAACAATACATTGCAGAAGCCCAGTTTGAGGTGGGCGGGGGGAAGCTCCAGCATCAATGAATCCTAACTACGATAGCACAACATGCTACAGAGGCTTCTATAATAATTATTAGGCTTCAATGGAATATTTCGCCTAACAATTTCTACTGGTGACCATTTTAACCATTTATGCAAGTTTTAAAAGATGCACGATCTAGTTTGATTCTTCAATGCATCACTAATTGGTTATCTTATAATGCTATCCACTGGTTTTGCTTATCCCCCAAAAAAATCACATAATAGAGACTGCATTAACTGAAAAACCAATTGAAATGCCGCTGTTAAACACCCAAACAAAAGTATAGCAAATGAACAAATAAAACAATGAGGATTGGCTTTGGACTACTTAGAAAGAAAGTCGAATTTTTAGTGGCAAAGAGTTACACTCAAAACAATTAAAGATAAATGACTATCAAGCATACATCAAATCCACACACCATTCAGTTATTTTTGTTAAAACCTAGATATGAAAAGCTGTCCACATGATTCACAACCAACAGCAAAATCATGTGCATGCCCAGGATCATGTACTACAGGACAGGATGAATCTGGTGCATGCCGCGTGCCTGCGTGCATTTTGATATTCTTGTTCTCAGCCACTAATGTTGCATGTCTTACCTTCTGCGTAGCATGCTAGATGCGAAAACAAAAGGAGGCAGCTTGTTCATGCTAAATAGCCAGTACAGAACAAAAAAGTATTTCTTTCAAAGCTTGAGGAATATGGATCATGCGGTAATTATCAAGGAGAAAAGGAATATCTGAACTCCCTCCCCCCTCTTCCCAAATCATCAGCTTCAAGTATATAATTGACTCAGAAACATGGTATCCCTTAAGAGTATATCCTATTCCATACATAGAACAGCACACTGTAAGCTTCAAGGAACAGATAAAGTACACGCATGTCCTAATGGGCTGAAGCAGCTCCGCTGCTGCCTAATCCCATCTTCTGCCCCAGCAGTGTAAGCTGCTCAACAAACTCACCTCCCATGAGAATTTCTGTTGTGCCGTATATAATATGCTTGACTGGCAGTTGACGGTTTGCAAGCTCTTGCAAGCTTCCATACTCCACATAATTACCACCACCAATCATAAAGACAATAGCTTCTTTGAATGGTCCTTTTAGATGGCTGCTACTAGTCCCAGTGTTTGACTTGGGAGCACGAGGGTCAAACACAAGGTAAGAATCAATCTCAGGGTTCGGCTTCCCATCCATCAATGCTTCAACAGTCCTTGCTACTGCCAGTTGATGATCACTAGATAATAGATTCTTCACACCCGCAGTCACGGCACTAATTGACTGCCCATACAGCTTTTCAGCCCAGTCGACAATGTTGCTTCTGCTTGCTGAATTGGCTGATGCTAGTGAAACATTTAATGACTTGATCTTTTTCACATACTGAAAAGCACTAGTATCAACCTCAGACTCCCTCAGTGCTGCTTCAACTATCTCCACTTCGGACTGAGGAATACTTTCAGTAGATATAAGATACATGATTGCAAACCGCAGCTTATCCATCTTAGTCCCTTTCCCTTTTAGCACACCAAGAAGTTCAGTCCGATCAATGGCACCTCTGATCATCATGTCATACTCCTTTTTCGCATAAGAATCAAGAGATCTCTCCTTAATCTCGCCCAACAACACAGTAGCAATATTAGTGTGCTTATCAATCACTTGCTTCCGCTCAGTCAACTCAGGCAATGAATTAACTGCATTCATCAAATGCTTGGTGTTGCCAATCAAATCAGTCCCATCAAATTCAGCCCCATCACTTCCACCTGTTCGTTTATTCACCTCATCAACATCTTTCTTATACTTGCTCAATTGGGTTTCGATCTCCACAGCAACTTCTGGAAACTCCAAAGATCCATTCGCCACCCAAAACCCATCCGATCGATCCAATTCATATGATTTCATTCCACCCTTCTCTCCTTGCACACTCAACCTATTCAACCTCAACCCAAGCACGTCATGAACAAGCGGTCTATACTTAAAATCATGCTGTATAGCGACTGACAACTCAAAATTTCGATCAAATATACACAAAACTGGCCTCTGAAACGAGCTCGTAAAATTCCCACCTTCTGAGAAGAGGTTATTCTTGGCCAACAAATGGTCACGCAGTCGTTGATCCAACAATGAAGCGACCATTTCAGCCGGCCCACCCCGTGGGCATCTAATAACAGGAACAACAGCAAGTGTAACCAACACGCAGAACAATCCACCCACAATTTTCTCGATAATCGCCTCAACTTCCTGGTCCCCCGCGGAAGGATCATTCAATTGGACATAACAATTTTTGTTGGCAAGCGAAAACAAATTATCATNCAAATAAAACAATGAGGATTGGCTTTGGACTACTTAGAAAGAAAGTCGAATTTTTAGTGGCAAAGAGTTACACTCAAAACAATTAAAGATAAATGACTATCAAGCATACATCAAATCCACACACCATTCAGTTATTTTTGTTAAAACCTAGATATGAAAAGCTGTCCACATGATTCACAACCAACAGCAAAATCATGTGCATGCCCAGGATCATGTACTACAGGACAGGATGAATCTGGTGCATGCCGCGTGCCTGCGTGCATTTTGATATTCTTGTTCTCAGCCACTAATGTTGCATGTCTTACCTTCTGCGTAGCATGCTAGATGCGAAAACAAAAGGAGGCAGCTTGTTCATGCTAAATAGCCAGTACAGAACAAAAAAGTATTTCTTTCAAAGCTTGAGGAATATGGATCATGCGGTAATTATCAAGGAGAAAAGGAATATCTGAACTCCCTCCCCCCTCTTCCCAAATCATCAGCTTCAAGTATATAATTGACTCAGAAACATGGTATCCCTTAAGAGTATATCCTATTCCATACATAGAACAGCACACTGTAAGCTTCAAGGAGCAGATAAAGTACACGCATGTCCTAATGGGCTGAAGCAGCTCCGCTGCTGCCTAATCCCATCTTCTGCCCCAGCAGTGTAAGCTGCTCAACAAACTCACCTCCCATGAGAATTTCTGTTGTGCCGTATATAATATGCTTGACTGGCAGCTGACGATTTGCAAGCTCTTGCAAGCTTCCATACTCCACATAATTACCACCACCAATCATAAAGACAATAGCTTCTTTGAATGGTCCTTTTAGATGGCTGCTACTAGTCCCAGTGTTTGACTTGGGAGCACGAGGGTCAAACACAAGGTAAGAATCAATCTCAGGGTTCGGCTTCCCATCCATCAATGCTTCAACAGTCCTTGCTACTGCCAGTTGATGATCACTAGATANGGGTCTCGTGATGGACGAAGAGAAATTCAAATGGAACGAATCGTAGAGAGATTTGGAGGCGTCGGAGATGATGCGTTGGACATTGATGAGGGTGGGTTGGACGAAATAAACGGCAGGGACGTCATGGACGGGCTTGCGGTCCTTGTCGACGAGGAAGTAGAGGGTTACGCCGTGCTTGCGGAGGTCCTTGACGTGGATGAGAGGTGAGAGAATGTCTTGGCAGAACCTATCGTAGATGAGAATCTTATAGACTTCTTCGTTTGCAGTTCCGGCGCTTGAGCTCACTGGTTGGTTCAGATTCAACATTCGCGTTATACACTCTGCGCGGATCGACAAATTAGATTACTATCAATACGAAATGAAATAATGAAATTGAATCGAAACACGCATTTAGACAGAGATCTGGAGAGAGACATAGACAGAACTAACCAGTTTGTTTTTGACGAAGATTGAGAGCCATTGTTGCGTCGAACAGAAGAAGCAAACCCCTCTTCTTTTTTGTCGTTTTTTGTTTGCCCCAGATCGAGCTTCTTTGTTTCTCTGTGTGCGCGCGCAGAAGTGGAGGAGAAGAGAGAGTTTCAGATCGAAATAAGCGTTAGTTCTTGTCAAGGGTAAATTACACTGACACCCCAGAAATTTGGTTTTATTACCCATACATTCCCTCACGTTTCAAAAATTACACTAAAACCCCTTAATATTTGAAACTTATAACATCTGCACGGTCAAAGTTAATTTCACAATAACAATTCTTGAAATACCAAAAATACCCTCCAAATATTTTTTCTTCTTACCTTAAAAATTTAACCCATCTCTCTCATTTATCATTTCTCTATTTTATATTTCATACATAAACTAAATTTTTTCCAATTAAATGATGAATTTCATAATTTATCTAATTAATAAGTTAAATATTCGAATTTTTTTTATTAAACAATATATTAATGTAAATTCTGTTTATCAATCCATTAGCCCCAAATGTAAATTCTGTTTGAGGAATTCGTTTGTTTGATTTTTTTTCCGGAGCCAAAGTTGTCCTCCGTTTTTTGGAAACCCCTAAAACAGACACTCTCTCTCTCTCTCCTTCGTTCCTTTCGTGCGGTTTCAATGCTCAAAGGTAATAAAGCTCATCTCCATTGCGTTGATATGAAGCTGCCAATTATTTTATTCAATCCTTTACATATGCATTTGCATATATGTATACATACACACACATATATAAATCCGCAACCTAGCTGTTGTTCTCTGTTTAATTCTGCGTTACGGGGAACCCCTAGACAGAATAAACAAGGTCCAGCCGAGTCTTTCATTTTCTGTCTTTGAGTTTTATGTCCTCTGAATTTGGTAAATTGAGGATGAGATGCTTCGGAATTATTACAAATTATGGGTGATTAGGTTCACTATCGTTACTTTTTCTGTATCTGAAGTTTATTCTGGTGAAGTATTGGCTCTGAAGTTGTTTCTATTGATTGGGTGTAAATTTGATTGAGACAACTTTGATACAAATTGTTCTTAGTTCTTGCTTGTCCCTTTTTTGTTTTTCTTAACAAACTTGGTGAACTTTTGGTCAATTAATTGTTCATAATTGGGTNTTGATTGGGTGTAAATTTGATTGAGACAACTTTGATACAAATTGTTCTTAGTTCTTTCTTGTCCCTTTTTTGTTTTTCTTAACAAACTTGGTGAACTTTTGGTCAATTAATTGTTCATAATTGGATTCTGTTATTTCACTCACTCTCCATCCTGAATTTCTTATGCCTTTAGGTTATAATTATTGCAGTGAAAAGAAGCTCTGTAGAATTGAATAGTCACGATTCCTTATTTTTTTTAACTGAATATTTGGTGATAGATGATCATCCAGCTTGCAGCTATTAAGAAGTGTTTCATGGTTTTTGGGTTTTAGAATTTTTAAGTGGAAGAGGTTATGTTGCCCATAGTTTTCTTCCTTGGCTAACCAGGACCAAGGAAAAGGAAAGGTTTATTGTGATTGGGTGTTTTCCTATGCCATTCTTGTGTTTTTCAAATTATTTAAGGCCTAATCTGTTATCTACTTAAACAAAAAATAGGACCCTGAGATCGATTGAAATGGTATAGTAATGTGCACCAAAAGTGATGCATGCACCGGCAGTTGCATCACTAATTGGTTTCTTTTATTAAATGCTATTGACTAGCAGGTTAATTTCCTGGGTGAAATTCATTATTTTCATTCAATAATCATATACACAGTTGTTCAAGTTATCAAAATTTTGGTTATAGGAATATCTTTTGTTACTTTGTTACTTTCTCCCTTTCTTTTTTCTTTTCTGTATGTTTTTTAGTTAAATGTTTCTATCACCAGTTGTCTAACGATAGACAGATGGCCATTGTCAGTGATGTTAGTTTTCCTAGTTTTGGGTCGTCAATTGGTGGTATCATGTGCCATCTTGGCAATTGATGGCTGACCACAACTTATGGCTTCAAGTTAATTATAATATGTTTGATAACTCCAGTTTTCACCATGTGTTCGAACTAACACTCTAAATGCCTTGCTTAACCTTGAGCCTTGTGCATTGGACCTCATTGTGGGAAAATGGTTTACCTTTACAATGCAATATGTTTTTCACTATGGGTTAGTTAATAGACACCTTATTTTGGTTTCTGAACCATCAAATCTCTTTAGAAGCTGTACTTTACATTTGTTTCTTGGACATCTATAGGAAATAATTGTATCCATGTTTGGAGATCTTAAATATCATTGGTGAGCTTGTACTTCCTCATGGATTTCCTCCTTCTCCCTATTGTTCTTGTGATGGCAAATCTCTATCAAATCAACCTAACATGTGTCTTAGCTCAATATTGATTGTTGTTTACACAACTCTTGCCTTCATTTATATTTCTGCCAGTGAAAAATGTGCTTATGCACGAGGCAGTTTACATGTGCCTTGCTTCATGTTATATGTTGGTAACTGCCACCTTGATTTGGCATATTTCGGATGGAACTGTTTGAAAGTATGATGCAGTATTTACCATTCTCAAAGCAGCTCGTGATATTTCACCTTGCTTGCTAATCTGTTTAACTCTGAAATTGATTGGAAGTGACTTTCTCTCGTTCCTGTTCATGATATCGTTAAGGGTTGGTGTCATATCATGGTCCTCTAATAATAGCATACTTCAAATTGGTTAACATCACAGGAGATTACAAACTAGAGATTTCTAGTCAGATCTTCTAATCTGCTATACTCCCAATGTTGCGTCTTGGGGAAAGTAACATTAATTGGGGGCTAAAATTGAGGAGAATGTGATGTACATTCATAATTTTATGTCTCAATATGCCACACTTTCGTTTTATATAATGTACTTCTTTTCATGGAATGTTATTATTTGACCTGTTAATTGTCAAAAAGCTTCTCATGGAGTAAAATTTTTAATGAGAAGTTGCATTTTTTTTCCAGATGGTTCAACAAATGATTGATTCTAAGTTCAGTGAGTATGGGCTGACAAATACTGAACCTGGCTTGCCCAATCATGATAAGCAATTGTCAGTTCCAGTGGTTGCAAAGAAGATAGCACTGAGGGATTTGCAGAACGAGAATACAATTCTTGTGCCGCCAAAATCTGCAGTAATCACGCTGTTTCCAAAGGAGAGTGGACCCACTAGTGATGCTGGTAAGATATCTGGCACCAAGAGACCCACACCAGAGTGCCTGATGAACCCTTCCCATCAGAAATGTCCAACCAATAATACTAGCAATGGGCATCTTGTGTATGTTCGTAGAAAAGCTGAAGCAGAATTAGGAAAAAGCAGTGCCTCTGACATTACACGCAGTAATGTTGATTATTCACAATTAAGAAAACTTGGTGACCAGGACAAGGCAACTGAACAAAAATTGGGGATGACAGATTCTAAGATGTGTGTCCCAGAAGTTGCACCTCTTCCTAGGGCTTCTCCGGTGTGCTTCTCGTCCTTAAAACCTTCAATTCCTCTCTCTCTTGGAAAGTCTGATAATATGTTGACACCGGCAGATTCCAAATATCTCCATGTTAGTTGTGCCAAATCTTCAACAGGTAATCTCAAGAGAATAGATATTCAGCATTTGGAAGAGCGATATTGCCAACTGCAGAATTTATTGAAAAATTTGGACCAATCAAATCTGGACGGCTATATCCAGAGTATGTTTTTGAATTTCAACAAGGCTGCTTAATGATGATGTCTTTTTTGATGTTTTCTTTTCCATATTATTTATTTCTCTCTTGTTTTACGTCAACAAGCAGTGCTTCGATCACTTTCCTCAGTTGAACTTAGCAAACATGCTGTTGAACTGGAAAAGAGATCGATTCAGCTTTCATTGGAGGAAGGTAACATGCAAATTTCTTTGTATCCTTTCTAATGTAGTTTTTCATTTTTAATGGAAATGAAGAAAAAAGATGTTAGCACGCAGAATTCTGTTAGAGGGAAACCCACTTCCAGAACAGAATCCCCAAAAGATTTCTTTCCTAACTTTACCCACATTTACTTAATTCAGTTCTGTGGATCTGTTTTTCATGATCTTAAATATGTTTTTATGCTTTGTCTTGATGCCATGCTGTTAATATAAGCATAATGTTTCCTAAATATTTTTTTGTGTCTATCTTGACATGGTAGAATGGGGAAAAGTTAAAGTAGCTTCACACAGGTTCTCTTTTTATGTTGTATTCGAAGCTCTCAGCTACAATATGAACATTTCAGCATTTTGTGGAGGAAATATAGTATGAGAATTTGCCATGTGATCTAGCGTGTTTGGGAGTGAATCAGAACATTGGCATCTAGAGTGGCTATCATTTATTAAATGCTTGATTACACTTACTCCTCGCAAAATTTTACTGTCAAAATAGTAGGAGGAATAGTAGAATCATTTTCTTGAAATATTGTGCATTTGCACAGTGTATGAAAAATGGAGAGGTGTTTATTTTGAACAGGTCTACTAGTCAAAGTAGTGTTTCAATTTCCCCTATTTTAGTTGGGACTCTAGCACTGGACCTGTCTCAGTGTCAATGTGGACAGTTTACAAATATATCTGCTGCTCTTTGAATTCAATGAAAAGGTTACAGTTTAGTTTACCAAGTCACATAGTGTTAGTATGACAAATATAGCAGCTGGAGTTGTTGTCAACTATAATTATCTCTTTGCTGCATAACTGCTCGCTCTCTCTGCATGGGGAAAAATAGGTTAGAATAAGACTGCCACCTATGCCAATCATTACTTCATTGTATATACCTGCTCCCTTGGAGCATCGTTGCGATCCATCTTTTTTGGGTGAAAATATTCCTTTTTTGTTGCTTGTATGTGAGAATAATGTGACACTAACTTCTTGTAAGTAGGTTGTATTTCTGCTGTTAACTATGGCTAGTCGTTTGTTTCTTATTATGAACAATTTTAATTACCCTGAATTTGGTGAGGATATGTTATTACTATTTCTGGTATTGATTAGAAGTTTTTTCAAGGGCCATAATACGTAGATAAAGGTGCCTATTCCTCCTTTAACCTCAACAACCCATCGATCTCACATGCTATTAGACCAAAGTAGGGTTGAGCTGCACAACTCCTATAGCGTGTTGGCTCCATTTGTATTAATTTGCATCAGTTAGTGGATGAAGTTTTGAGAATGACATCCCAAGGCTCATTTATCTTAAAGATTCTTTGGATACTATCTTAATACTCTCTTGCCATGTCAAAGATTTGTGCTCTATTTTAGAGCGGACATAGTTATGGAAATGAAAATTGGAACCTTGTGCAAGATCAGGGTTGGAATGGCCATTGAACGATCGCAACTTCGTGTCCTTATGGGATATCTGTTGTCTTCTACTTCTGGACTGTTATCAGCCAATAGCTATCATTATAAGAGCATTAGTTGTTCATAGAAGTTTAGAATATTTTGTTAGATGAGTTCATCTTATGATATGTAGAGTGTGGAGTCTATGAAATCAATTCCCTGCTATCAGCAATAAACAGAGCAGTAATGTATGAGTGTCATTATCCACTTGGCCACAACATTAACCTAGAGTGCTGGGAGGAGTGTATTGGATACCTATCCAATCTTCAGCAATATTTCCACAAAGGGGTTGTGGTCCCCCAACCTTTTGGTTGTTTGCCCGAGCATAGTTTCACTGCCCTCAGATGCATTATGTATCATGTTTAGTAATCAAAGTTTTCTACAGTAGGATTGATATTGCTGGCAGAAGTAGAATTTATGATTGTCTCTGCCCCTTGTACTGGTGTAACACGTTGGCTACAGGTTTATATGGGGAACTCTTGTGTCTGTCCTACTTGAGATATTTCTTTTTTATGCTCCAATTTCGACATTTCTGAGGCCCGTGGAGCCTAATATGTTTTTAGCTTTTATTTTTTTCCTCTGCATTGCAGCAAAAGAGATGCAACGAGTTCAAATCTTGGATGTCTTGGGGAAATATCCTAAGAATTCTAGAGGACTCTCAACCCAACAAGACCAGTCAGAGAAGTGAGAGGAAACATTGGACTGAAGATGGTGGACTTGTTTCTTTTATACTACTCAATCGATCCATCTTTATACTCGTATTGATCATTGTATAATTCTGGTTATCCTTCTCCTGATTCTCATCTCCCATTGTGAAACCTATTGTCTTCCTTGCTTGCGCTATATAATTTTCTTGTTAAGCCATTGAAATGTTAATGCTATGATTGAAAGAAATTGTGTTAGCAAGGCGTCATGTATAAATAGTAAGTGGGTTTGGAAAATCGAGTGCATGTTTTTATTTTTTTGTGCTGGGGTTTGTCGTGTATGTATAGCTAGATGTTAGTCGTGACAGTGACAGGTGCAAGCAAATGCAGTTTGCTTCATTTTTTCCCACCAAAGAAAGGACAAATACACTACCCAGAAAAAGGAAAACAATAATGTTTGGCGGTCTTGAACACTTGAACACTATGACCATTTAGCCTACACTGTTAGTCTCACAAAAACAGTTAGGAGTGATTGTCTGTAGATAATATTGTAGCATNAAAAGGAAAACAATAATGTTTGGCGGTCTTGAACACTTGAACACTATGACCATTTAGCCTACACTGTTAGTCTCACAGAAACAGTTAGGAGTGATTGTCTGTAGATAATATTGTAGCCAACATCGATTTTAATTCCAATAAAAAATACATGTTGACTAGTGAAATTGATAGAAAGAAAATATATTCTTTAGAGGAGAGAAAAATAAATTTCAAACCGTGGACTTGACCACACGGATTTTACCGTGTGCTCAAATCTTGTTAATAACTAATATCTNAAAGGACAAATACACTACCCAGAAAAAGGAAAACAATAATGTTTGGCGGTCTTGAACACTTGAACACTATGACCATTTAGCCTACACTGTTAGTCTCACAGAAACAGTTAGGAGTGATTGTCTGTAGATAATATTGTAGCCAACATCGATTTTAATTCCAATAAAAAATACATGTTGACTAGTGAAATTGATAGAAAGAAAATATATTCTTTAGAGGAGAGAAAAATAAATTTCAAACTGTGGACTTGACCACACGGATTTTACCGTGTGCTCAAATCTTGTTAATAACTAATATCTATTCAATGAGAATTTATATTAATAGTTTCATGGTATCGATGAAGTATAATCACATTTCTTAATGGTAGTCAGACATTGTTATACATTTCTTTTCTTTGCCCTCGAGCAAATTTAGCGGATTTATCATATTGAGGTAACTTGAAATTTGAGTTTCTCGCCAAAATGTCGAGAGAATTTGGGGAACAAGATAAAGATTCGTAACTGAAAATAACTACCCAATTTCGAAGTGGTGTCTCTCTCTGTCGGAGTGGAGTGGTAACCGCTTGGGACTACATAAGACACCCATCAGCCATTTGTTCAATTTTTTTCGCTATTCTGTTTTTCATCAAGGCCAAAGTGATGAACGACAGCAACATTACAGAACTTCAACTCTGCTCCTCACAGGACAGTCGAGAAATCTTTCCGAGCTTTGAGCCTCAGAGCCCCGCTGGCATCTTTCGCCTGCAAAAGTACCATCAGAAACCCAGAAAGAAGAGAACCAAATTGACCCGAATCGACAACTCGGTTGGGGTTAGTTCCAGTGGCGTTACCAAGCCTAAGAAGTATGGAAAGAAGCCAGAACCTAGTGCTCCCAAGATTACAAGGCCGTGTAGTGAGTGTGGCANTATTCAATTGCTAACTAGGTGATTCTCTCATTTGTTTGCCACTTTACTCACTGATTCATTTATTATTTTCTGTGAAATACACATGACATTATATTTATGGGGTTTGTGATGTTCAAGTGTATGTTTGTACTGTAGCCCATGCAAATATGTATGGATGTCTCTCTGTCAATATGTTGCTGCAGCTTATGATTCATATGACTTGAAATGTGACGGGAAGAAACTTAATTACAAACTTTGCTATTCTTTTTCTCTTTGTTTTTCTGGGATTGTGATTTTTAACTTCTAAATATGATTTAAACACAGNGAGCGCCAGTGGCGTGGCATTAACCCTCCACCCAATTTCAGCCGACCCCTGTTGCTCGACAACAATGTAAATGATCTTGAAGCCCGAATGTCCGATAAGGATCACGAAGTTGCGACGTCTTTGCTAATGTTAGCAAATGGGCCAAGCGCTTATGAGACACTGGCAGTTACTCCTACTAGTACTGCCAATCCANTTGTTCTAGTAAATTCTCAGTGAGAAACTTTTTACTTACTCTTTCAAAATTGTATTGTCCTTTTCATTCTCTTGACTTTTGTTAGATTGTATAGGTTAATGTTTGGAGTGAAATCTCCATGAGTACCATGTCAAATGTTTTATAGTTAATTCTTTGATTGAAATGTCTGAATTAACCAGAGATACTCATTATTTACTTCTGTTATAGTTAACTTACTTACTACTCAGTTCAAAGGTAGAGTGACCTACTCCACTATGGTGAGGCGCCGAGGTGAGCATAGGGCGCCCTTGGCAGGCGAGGTACGAGACGCTGAGCATGGGCACCCTTGGCAGGTAAGGAGCTGAGGTGAGCATGGGTGCAGACACCCTTAACACGCAAGATGTGGGGCGCCCTTGGCAAGCATAGCGCCGATGTGAGCACGGGCACAAGTGCCCTTGGCAAGTGAGGTGCACAGGTGCCCTTAGTGCGCATTGGGCGAGGCACTTGGGGCGCTGCCCCTTTTGGTGTTGGGGCACGTCTCCTCAATGGTGCCCAGTGAGCAACAATTGGATGAGTTGCTAGTTTTGGTTCACTAACAATTGCATATTCTCCAGTAATTGTGGTTCAACGATAGGATTTGTTGAAGGGAGCGGGACCTTATCATGACGAGATTGATCATCATCTTTCCTTTTTTATTCATAGATCTAATTGTAATAGTCATAAAATAAAAAGAGTAGAAAAAATTAGAAAGACAATAGAAAATTTAGTCGTGTCTCACAGACAACGTCAAACTAATGATACACAAAAATAGATTTATGCAACACATGTCAAGTACTAAATGCAATAATAAATTATGAGAGTCAATATAAGGAAAACACAATTTAAGTGGTTCGGTTAAAGTAACTTACTCCACTATGAAGGATTTAGATGACCTTAGTTTTTTATTGTTTCAAGTAATGTAGAGTGTTCAAGTGTGAGTCATATGTGTGAGATGTGAGAGATGCCCCCTTGTATAGGTGGGACTTTGTATAGGTGAGGCTTACAATTTATAAATGTTTCATAATAGATTGAAGCATTTTGTTCGTATTATGTGAGGTAGTTTGATGAAGGTGGTGCCCTTTTTGTAATAGGTGAGACAATTCTGTAGAGGTGACGACGTGCGCGTCCCAAGAAGATCTTTTCGCTCGTCAATTATAGACTAAGTCTCTCGCCATGAGACAGACCCTCTTTTAAAATGGTGCAGTTAACTTTGTTTACTCTTTTCTACGGTGGTTCTGACTTATATTCCTAAATTGGGTCTCTAAGCTGGCCTAGTCTATATTTTTACACTGGGCCTAATCTGTAATTATGGACTATGCCATTGAGTTGGACCTACTCTGGATCGGGCCTGTCAGATATTATTCTCTCTTTTTTATCCACCGTGACACATGTAAAGTTATTTAATTTCATTGTATTAGTTTATAATTATTGAGTATAAATAAACCAATTAAAATTGTATGATACAAATTATTGTTTGTTGTTTATTTAACATTGAAATATGATTTTGATGTGTTATCAAAAAAAAAAAAATCTGATACCAGAGATTATGTGTGGATCCATTCACATCTTAAGTATCATGCATATGTATAACGAAAACTCTGTTTATTTTAGGTACATCAAAATATGATACTAGTCGTTAATAAAATATGAAATTAAACAACTATGTTAAATGGTGCCTTGAAGCCCAATTCATCCATTTGTTATCAGGTTTGATTGTTGAAATTTCCGGATAAGGAAGAGGAGGTTACATGGGCGTTATCTTCTTTGATCTATTATTATTATAATAATTATATTATTACCATAGGTCCCATATTGTTTTATTATTGCTTAGGTACCCAAGGTACCATTAATTAGGCCCAGTAATCATGTTGAATGAAATAATTTTGCGTCCGGTGGAACGAATTTGTGTCAAAAAACTCTTTATTCATATCTCATTCATTTATATAAACGAGTCTAACTATCACATTCATACACAAATCGTTTATTAGACGGATTATCTGATACAAGTCATGTGTTACCCGCTAAATAAGAGAATAGATTTGAGTATTTCTAGTCCATACGAAAAATCATCAATTCATCATACGTTATACATATTTGACTTATTTACTATAACAATAAATTATGGTTGAGTAAAAAAATAATGACAAAAAATAAATATTAAATGACTAATAAATTTGAATAAGTTTGAGAGTTGAGAAGTGTGANTATAACAATAAATTATGGTTGAGTAAAAAAATAATGACAAAAAATAAACATTAAATGACTAATAAATTTGAATAAGTTTGAGAGATGAGAAGTGTGAGATGGGGCAGAAGCTAAGAGACTTAACTTTTTTTAAACACGAGTTTATGTGTTAAATAACTAATTAAGACAGCATTTGAAAATGACATGATGAATTAATGCTGAGTTGTTGCATGCAAGGCTTCTTTAAAGGTTTTGATCCTCTACAACTAATATTTCATTCTCCACATACAACTGCTGACATGGCATATATAAATTCTTTGATGATGATAGCTCAATGTCCATTTGCTGTAAAAGTGATCTTATTCAAGTCCTTGTTGCGGGTGACTCAAGCCATTTGAAGCTACCTATCACTCTTTAGTAAGAGCATCTCTAACAATAATATTTAAAATAGTTATTCAAAATATATTTAAATATTTTATTATCTACTTTACATATCTACTTTTTCAAATTCACTCTAACAACACTATCTATTTTAACTAATCACTTTAACTAACTTTCAATAATAAAATTTAACAAATAACAATTGAACTATATATTGTATAAATTTAATTAATTATAGGCAACAAGAATAAATATCATAAAAGATGGGTTACAAAAGTAAATATCATAAAATACTTAGAGAGTTTTGTTGGATTTTGGAAAAGTTTTTTAAATTTTTTAAGAGTTTTATTAAATTTTTAGAAAGATTTTGTTAGATTTTTTTACTACCTCAATTCTTCATCTTCTCATACAAAGTTCAGCAATAATACAGATGGTAAAAATCCCCAAATTCCCAAATACTTTGTGTTCACCATTGAAGAATGATGAAGACGATGAAGCCCAGTCAAATCTCAAGTACCTTCTGCAATTTGAGATTTGTGTCTTCTGCGATTCGAGAGTTTGAGATTTGTGCCTTTTGCGATGCAACCAAATCTCAAGAGAGATGAAGATGATGAAGCTTTCAGTGGACTGATTCAAATGATGAAACCTTTTAAAGACGATGAAGACAAAATCCACAACAAGCATACCAACCCATGAAAATAAATTACCCAAAAAACACACTAATTATCTGTGCTTTGGAGCTTTAGTGAGATAGACAGAGAGATAATGGAGAAGGACCTTGGCGCCAACGAGGGAGAAGATGGCTAGCTACAGCCAGCGAGTGAAATGAAAGCTACGAAAAATAGATAGTGGAATAACAAGTTTGTTGAAACCAAATTTTAGGAAAAAATTATTTGAAATAACTAAGAAAAATGGTATAGCTAATCTCTTGGAGATACTCTAATATCTTTGTCAGAGAGGTCCTTTGAAATCAAAGAAGAGGCTGCCACGTCAGCCGAATAGCACGCACGTGCAGGTTTACTGGACACGCGTTGGTTTAGCCAAAACCCATAAGATGGTTTACCCATTAATTAATTATACTTTCTTTTAATTTTCTACAAAACTTAGATTATTAGCCGTACATTAAACCATAAGGCCATGGGCCATGTTAATCCACTGATGGACAAGCAGTGGGGCCTATCATATGATCCACTGGGCCAACTCGAACTTACCTAGAAAGACATTCTGTTTGGTCGGCCCAGTACAAAAATTCTTGTTTGGATGTATTACATATGCCCATTTTGTCAATCACACAAAACATTAAAAATTAATGATTGGTTGCAACTCATAGTTTAGAACAAAAAAATTGTTAGCCGATAATTATGAGTAAAAAGACGTTAAAAATTAACAAAATATTAATGGAAAACATTGTTATTGTTTGGGATTTCATGTAAAGTAGGAAATAGCTTAGGTGAGACTTGCAAAATCACCAATTGCATATTCTTATGTTTCTGTTTCTCTTTAACTTCCTTAGTCTCTTTTCTATTTTTATTTCATGCAGTAATCTCATGGGATTACGATGTTTATATNGTTTTATTAAATTTTTAGAAAGATTTTGTTAGATTTTTTTACTACCTCAATTCTTCATCTTCTCATACAAAGTTCAGCAATAATACAGATGGTAAAAATCCCCAAATTCCCAAATACTTTGTGTTCACCATTGAAGAATGATGAAGACGATGAAGTCGAGTCAAATCTCAGGTACCTTCTGCAATTTGAGATTTGTGCCTTTTGCGATTCGAGAGTTTGAGATTTGTGCCTTTTGCGATGCAACCAAATCTCAAGAGAGATGAAGATGATGAAGCTTTCAGTGGACTGATTCAAATGATGAAACCTTTTAAAGACGATGAAGACAAAATCCACAACAAGCATACCAACCCATGAAAATAAATTACCCAAAAAACACACTAATTATCTGTGCTTTGGAGCTTTAGTGAGATAGACAGAGAGATAATGGAGAAGGACCTTGGCGCCAACGAGGGAGAAGATGGCTAGCTACAGCCAGCGAGTGAAATGAAAGCTACGAAAAATAGATAGTGGAATAATAAGTTTGTTGAAACCAAATTTTAAGAAAAAATTATCTGAAATAACTAAGGAAAATGGTTTAACTAATCTCTTGGAGATACTCTAATATCTTTGTCAGAGAGGTCCTTTGAAATCAAAGAAGAGGCTGCCACGTCAGCCGAATAGCACGCACGTGCAGGTTTACTGGACACGCGTTGGTTTAGCCAAAACCCATAAGATGGTTTACCCATTAATTAATTATACTTTCTTTTAATTTTCTACAAAACTTAGATTATTAGCCGTACATTAAACCATAAGGCCATGGGCCATGTTAATCCACTGATGGACAAGCAGTTGGGCCTATCATATGATCCACTGGGCCAACTCGAACTTACCTAGAAAGACATTCTGTTTGGTCGGCCCAGTACAAAAATTCTTGTTTGGATGTATTACATATGCCCATTTTGTCAATCACACAAAACATTAAAAATTAATGATTGGTTGCAACTCATAGTTTAGAACAAAAAAATTGTTAGCCGATAATTATGAGTAAAAAGACGTTAAAAATTAACAAAATATTAATGGAAAACATTGTTATTGTTTGGGATTTCATGTAAAGTAGGAAATAGCTTAGGTGAGACTTGCAAAATCACCAATTGCATATTCTTATGTTTCTGTTTCTCTTTAACTTCCTTAGTCTCTTTTCTATTTTTATTTCATGCAGTAATCTCATGGGATTACGATGTTTATATGTGTATATTTTTTAACGTTATTTTATGAACATGTTTCTTATATACTTATAAAATAATCTATATTTTTATCACATAATAACCCTGTTTTTGATCCAATATTTTATCGAAGCTCGTAATTTTTANGTTTTATTAAATTTTTAGAAAGATTTTGTTAGATTTT